AAACTATAGCAGCCTGCCAGTCTGAAAAATAACCCAAGTAAAGTTACAGAGAGTTTGGAATAGCAAGGAAGGAAACTTCATTTTTAAAGCCAAAAATCCACAGTACGGCCCATCTCAAATGAATATCAAATGGTTTTTCCAAGGTATTACTTGATTGCTTTCTCATAATTCGTATATATTTGTGTAAGAGATGTGCTAGAATAGCACCTCCGAAGTATATCTAAGCTTCTAGGAAAGAGGTTCATTTGCTGGGTGCATTAATAAAAAACACAGTGTCCAACACGTCCTTAGGAAATACTAGTTGAAGTTATGTCATTTAGATGTATAAGAGCACAGAAGTTATTTTCTTTTCTCGTGTTGGGTAGTTTTGCTAATACATCTCATTTAGAAGAATACAAATCTCCCTTGAGTCTATTCTTACCTCCCCAATTCGAGCACTTTGAGATAGCTAAACAATAACGGAGAGGCCATTCGGTTGAGGGGACAGGGAGGACGTATAGGATTTTGAACCAGACATTTCCTCAAATTGCTGAACATCAAAGTTGAAGCAACTTCCAAGGGCCAATGACTGAGTTCATTTAAAGGCAGCTCTTCATTTTTCCCCAATAAAGTTATAGGAAGCAAATCGAGTTTAAGCTATCTCTATACTCAATACCATGCCAAGAGCATTTGGGGGCAGACACATGTACGATGGCTCTCTCCCAAACAGCTCTAACTCCACTCAGACGACACGGCAGGAAAAGCAGAGATGAGGCACAAATGGCCAAACCCTCCAACTCTCCACTTGGACAGCAGAGCCCGGGTGGTTCTGGGTAAAGAAACTTCCACCACACCTGGCTCAGGCCCACCTCCCCGCCTACGGCCTGCACCACACCCATCTGGGGCTGACATTTCCTTCCCCAGTGTGCGTGGGAAAGGCCCAGGCAGCGATGTGTGTGCGTAGGAAAGTGTCATAGCACAGCTGACTCTGCTAGGCGTGCAGTGACAGCCGCAGGTAACCAAAGGTGAGACATTTACTGACCCGCCCCTGCAGCCCTCCAACACGCCTGGGTGGGAGGAGGCCGGTGCACAGACCCTGCGGGGTCGGAGAAAGGGTTTCAGGAGACGGACGGGGCGAAGAAGGAAACAGGGAAGGACTCCGGCCAGTCAAGACACAGGAGCCAGGACTGGCAGACGACACATCTACCCCTTACTCCCGGCCAGGCTTCCACACTGGCCACCGCTGTTGAAATGACACTTAATTTGGAGCCAAAACTCCAGTGTTGACACAGCTGGGGTGCAGGCAGGCTGGGAGGTGAACAAGTCAAGGGAACCCCACTGTGTGCCATAGGTTCCCGCCTTTAGTTGTTCTTTTTTTAAATTTCTTTAAAAGAAAATGGAGCTCATAGACAATAAAGGAAAGAGACAACATTAAAGTTTACATGGAAAAATGAAAACCCTCACCCTTCAGAGCTGCTGCTCCTAAAACCAGAGCCTGTTTGAGGGTCTGACAGCGGCTGTGGTGTCTCCACAACTGCCCGTCACAGACTGTCACGGCACTTTACAGCCCCGTGTTTCTGGTACTCTCCGCTGGGGACTAAGCAAGGATTCTGAAAATCAAATTATCTTCTTTTTTTTTTTTAGCAACGCTATCTCACCATTGCCTCCAGTAAACTTTCCAGGGACTCTAAGTCCAAGTGATTTTGCCAAAGTGATGTCACTGCAAGTTGTTCTCCTTTGGAAAAAGGGGTGGGGAGATGTCTCTAGTCAAATAAGTTTAGCAGATGCTGCACATGAGACCTTTTCTGGCAGGGTCACAATGCACATTTGCATATTGCGAGCGTTGAGAAGTCCTAGTCACCCAGCTGTTCTCAAGTATACTTGACATTTATGTCCTCAACACACGACATCCTGCAAATGCAGCATTCCAAGACTCACCGGGAAACCCCACCCTCAATCGGCTCATGCATGCTGCTAAGCCACATGCTACCCACCCAGGGCTGCGCTGTTTTGGGCTTTGTGAACCCAAGTGCAAGACCCAACATTTATTCCTGGAACATGTCATCTTGTTAGCCTCTGCCCAGCCCACCCAGCCTGTCAAGGTCTTTTTGGAACTTGGCGCTTGGAATCGTATTTGTTTTGGACTCGTATCTCTCAAGCAGATGTTCCCACGTGCACACATGCATCTGCAGGAAAAGGGTAGCTCTTAGGTGAACGGCCAGTTCGGCCCTGCACACCCTTGTCCTCCCGCGAGGTCAGGCTGGGAACAAGTTCCTTCCTATGCAAACAGCCCTGCAGGGTGGGGCCCTTCCAGAGCATCAGGGAAGGGTTTTATGTGGTTTCCAGGGAGATGCATTCAGTTAAAGTTGTTTTTCCAACAAATGGTCCCAAAGTGAAAAGTGGTTGCTGGGAAGTTGAATTATTACCTAACGCCAGTAGCAGCTGCTGGTAACCACAGGGGAAAGGAGTGGGGAGCTCTCCTCTGGGAGTTGGGGGCTCATTAACACTCCTTAAATTAGCAAATCTGTATCGCACAAGTTTAAAAATAGCAACCTAATAGTTTCTAAAATTAGCCATCATTGCTCTCCATAAATATTTAGACCTCTAATAAACTTCTGGTCCACTTGCCTTGCCTAACAGGGTCAAACCAGGCTTAGTTTTTATGCCACATTCTTTAGGATCAGTAGACTTAATGACTGACCTTGACAAGTGAAAGCTGTGAGAAGCGCTGAATGCACAGACCAGGGACAGCCTGCGTGGCTGGCGGCCTGGAGGTAGGGCCAGGAGGCATCTCAGAGGCTCTTCGTTGATCTGGATGCTTGCAGGGACCAGCAGTCCTGCTTTGCTCAGAACTGTCCCGGTTTTAGCACTGAAAGTCCCGTGTCCTGGGCAACTCCTCAGTCCCCAGCAAAGCAAGACGGGTGGTCACCCTGGCTACCTAAACCACTGCATAAAGACCAAGGCCACTCTTGGTCACTCTTGGGACATCTTTGGGAAGGACATTCTGCTCTCCAGAACCTGTTGCTGATCCCACCTGAAGCCCTCATGCTAATTTTGGTCCTATTTAGTTGAGGCAGGGAGTGTGTAAAGGAGGAATGAAACCAAGGACAATACTCGCCGGTCCAGGCACAGAACTGTCACCCCTGCACATCCCTGGTTTCCCCATGCATAAAACAGGGATGGTAACATCCACTGCCTCATTAGGTTGTTGGGAACAAACTGATTTACATCTAGTAGGGGATTCCTTAACATCCCAGGATTAAAGCCAAGAGGGCTATGGAACCCCACAGATGGCCCCTGGCCAGCACATGTCACTGTCACCTAGGAGATGCCCTGCAGCCCCTCTCTCCCAGCCTGCAGTCTCACCGCTGCTTAAATGCAGCACATTCCTCTGCTCTGAGGAAGAAGAAAGAAACAGGTTTTGCCTACTGAATTCTTGCCAGTTTGGGGGCACTGAAGTGACATCGTCAGTAGAGATGCTTCCCTTTCCTCCTGTCAGAACAAGAAATCCCTTTAGGGCCGTGAGCAAAGTCTGGCTCCCTCATTTTAAAAAGGTGCAATGGTTCATGCCTGTAATCCTAGTACTTTGGGAGGCTGAGGCAGGAGGATCATTTGAGCCCAAGAATTCAAGACCAGCCTGAGCAAGGGTGAGACCCGTGTCTCTACAAAAAAATAGAAAAATTAGCCAGGTGAGGTGGTGCACACCTGTAGTCCCAGCTACTTGGGAGGCTGAGGCAGGAGGCTTGAGCCAGGAGTTTGAGGTTGCAGCGAGCTATGATGACGCCACTGCCCTCCAGTCTGGGCGACAGAGTGAGACTCTGTCTCAAAAAAAAAAAAAAATCAATTTAAAAATAATTTTAAAAAAGGAAGTTGAACCCCAGAGAGAAGCCCCAAGTTGCCCAGGAGTGAGGGCACTGCCAGGGCCCAGGACTCCTGATTCTCTGTCATTGCTGGTTACCTGGCCCCAGGCAGGGGAAAAGAGCTAGTGGCGTCCACTGGGAGATTCCCACTGCCCCTTCCTCCCTGCCTTCATTTCTTCCTTTCACCCATCCTCCTTCCCTCCTGTCCTCCTTTCATCTCTTCTCCCCCTTCCTTCCTTCCTTCAATACGTCCCGAGTGTCCCCTCTACACCTGGTACTACATAGGTGCCATCCCCTTACCCCCAAGAAGTGTTCTTGATTTTGCTATGCTTAGAATTTTTTGAAAACCTTTGAAATGGCTCCACATTCCCGTATCTCTGACAGCCAGGTGGCAGTCTCTGTTTTACAGCAAAGCCACCTTCTGAAGGTCCTCACTCATCACAGGCTGGGGGGTATGGGAGAGCGTGGCGTGAACGGAGGCCTGTGCCAGAGGTGAGGGACGCTGGCCTCTGTCCTGGCTGCAGCTCCTAAGAAGCTGGTGACCTTGGTAATTTCTGTCGCCAGCATCAGTTAGCAATCTAGCAATCTCTAGGTCACGTCCAGCTCTGTCATTCTGAAGACAGTGTCTAACTCGCCTGTGAAGCCCAACCTGTTCCTGGTGGAGCCCCTGGGTGGGGAAGTCACCCACTTCAGAAAACACATCATCCTGATGACAGCCCAAGGCTACTTTCTCAGTGGCAACCAGCACACACCTTAGCACTTGTCAGTCCAAGGTGTGAGTCACGTTTGCTGGTTTAACAACTGTTCTTACTGATTACTGGTGGAACACAGGACCTGAGATTCAAATGCCGCCGACGGGCTTGAGGGTAGACATGAGGCAGAACTTCCCACAGGTGGCAGGGTCAGTGCTGGGAGAATCCAAGAATGGGGGCTCCGGAGCGCCCTTCACTGAGGTCAGATTCCTGCTGTCATCCCTGCAGCTTCCAGGGAGGGCAGCTTACACTCCCACCCGGTGGATTCTCAGGAACGATTTCTTAGACTATGCTAATTGTCATACCAACCACCTATTGAAAATTCGCTTTCAGGGACAGAAATAAGTGCATCGAGATAATCTTTAACCCGTTTCCTTTCTCTCCGCCCCCGCCTCTCCGGCTTCATTAGGCCTCCCGCCAGCGCCTGAGGAGCGCGGTCCCCGGGGCACAGGCAGCCACCCGGCTGGCCTAGCAGGTGGCGGGCCATGGCCAGCACGGCGGTGCAGCTGCTGGGCTTCCTGCTCAGCTTCCTGGGCATGGTGGGCACGCTCATCACCACCATCCTGCCGCACTGGCGGCGCACGGCGCACGTGGGCACCAACATCCTGACGGCCGTGTCCTACCTGAAGGGACTGTGGATGGAGTGCGTGTGGCACAGCACGGGCATCTACCAGTGCCAGATCTACCGCTCCCTGCTGGCGCTGCCGCGCGACCTGCAGGCGGCGCGCGCGCTCATGGTCATCTCCTGCCTGCTGTCGGGCGCCGCGTGCGCCGCGGCCGTCGTGGGCATGAAGTGCACGCGCTGCGCCAAGGGCACGGCCGCCAAGGCCACGTTCGCCGCGCTGGGCGGCGCGCTCTTCATCCTGGCCGGCCTCCTCTGCATGGTGGCCGTCTCCTGGACCACCAACGACGTGGTGCAGAACTTCTACAACCCGCTGCTGCCCAGCGGCATGAAGTTCGAGCTCGGCCAGGCCCTGTACCTCGGCTTCATCTCCTCGTCGCTGTCGCTCATCGGCGGCACCTTGCTCTGCCTGTCGTGCCAGGACGAGGCGCCCTACCGGCCCTACCCGGCGGCCCAGCGCAGGGCCGCCACCACCACCGCCACCGCCGCCGCCGCCGCGCCCGAGTACCGGCCGCCAGCCGCCTACAAGGACAACCGGGCCCCCTCGGCGACCTCGGCCTCCTATAGCGGGTACCGGCTGAACGACTACGTGTGAGTCCCGGCCCGGCCTCCCCGGGGCGCTGTCAGGCCAGGGCGCTGCGCCCCTGCGGGACTGTGGGCCCCAGCAGCGGTTCCAGCACAAAGTTGACTTCTGGGCTATTTTTGTATCCAAGGAAACGATGTGAACAGTCAAGAAATGTTCTTGGAAGCCAGGGAAGGAGGAGGGAAATAGGAAAGGGAGAAAGCTCCATATACCAAAGACTTTTTAAAAAATCCTTTCTGTTTTTGTATTTATTATATGTATTTATGTGGGTGATTTGATAACAGCTTAATAAAAAGTGACTTGGGAGTTTGGTTGGTGGGGTTTGTGATACAGGAATAAACCTTTTGGATGTGGTTGTTTATGAAACAGACAGCATTCCTATCGTTTCCAGACTTATTCTGGCCACTAAGGTGCTGGTCATCTCTGTCAGAGCCGGCGGGGGCCCAGGGTTGCCGGGCCATGCAGCGGTGCTGACCACTAGTGCCCTGGAGTTGTGGCACTCAGGGAGTGGCCACCACCCACGCACCCTTGGGAATAACATTCCTCCAAAAGATGCTTGAGCTACTCCCATAAAAAAACAGTCGCTGTAGCCGGGTTTAAGCTCAGAGGCAGGGCAGGAGAGAAAGGGCTTCCTTGCAAAACGATAGTTGCCATAAGTCACAAAATAAGGACAATGTCGTTTTCTTCCCATGAGCAATAGGTCCCCACCAGTAAGAAAACAAGAGTCAGTCAGAAGAAAAAACAAAGAAACGTGCCTGGTGGCGTGGCTTTCTAGGCATTGACAAGAAGCCAGGTTAGTAGCGTTACTCTCCCCCAGGGCCCCCAGAGGGACTTCACTGGCCTGGTTTCTGGCGTGGCCGGCTCTGCTGTCACAGGTCCTAGCGCCTGCTGCCTGCTCCTTCAGCCGGAAAGAACGGCCGGGAGGGTGGGGTGAGGCCCGACTCCTCTGAGAACCCTGACGACCTCTCTAGCGGTGCCCTGAGTCACACAGTCAGAGAGCTGTGCATGGTGACACACACACCCCCCATGAGCCCAGGGAGCCAGGACCCGCCCTCACGTCCACACGGGCTCACATCCTTGCCCCACTGCTGACAGCACACAGGCTGCTCATGCCTCTGTCCCAGCTTGCAAGATCTGAATGTGGAAAGAAATACCCCGGGCTGTGGAAGGGCTGAGCTTGCGGCCCGCACACAAAGTGGCCGTTATGTGAAATCCCTCCATGCTCAAGGCTGTCGGAGTAGGGACACCAGGGCCCCAGCTGTCACTGTATGTAGGGAAGTGAGGTGCGACTCCTCTCGAAGGAGGGGGCGCCACACCTCTTGGCATTTATCTGACCCCAAAGAAGCTAAACAGGCTGTGATTTAAGCCAGGCATTGAGGTCAGAGAAATTATCACTTAGGTATGATGAAACAGCAATTTTAATCTACCCTTTAAATTATAAAAATGAGTAAATGTGAATCAATAAAGAAGAGAAATAAAACTTTCTACAAACAGAATGACATTCCATCAGTCCTTACTGGATGGTCACCATCTGGATTGTGTTCAGAGAAGTTATTCTAGTTAATAGAACTATTACAAATGAAAGAGAAAATTACTTTTTAAAAACTTTCTCTGAATTTGATCACTACTAAACTAAAATACATCTCTCTCCCCTATGCAGGTGAAAGACGAATAATGGCGATGATAATTAATTGAGCACTTACTATGTGCCAGGCATACTTTTCGTTTGTTAATTTGATCCAGTAAGATAAATGAGAACCCAGTGGGGTCAATACTATTCTTAACCTTGGTTTGCAAAGGACGAAACTAAAGCACAAAGAGGTTGAGTTGCTTGTACAGATCACAGAGAAAATGAGTAAAAGACCCAGAATTCAAACCCAGACAGGTAAGAAAGGGGAGAGTATATTAACTCAAATAGGGGCATGACCTATAGTCTAATGACATTTTTGTCCATTTGCAAATAATTGAGAGAATTGTTGCATGATCATATTTGGCTCTTTCTAGAACTATCACTCCACTAAGCTTCTGTTAACTGGATCCTGGCTTGGATGAAAGGTAATGTCAGACCCAGAGGCCCAAGTTTGAATCTCCATGGGACTCAGGAAGGGACATACGATGGCTCCATCCTACAGCTGGCCAGCTAAAACAGGAAGTTGATCCGAACAAACCTTGATTTCCTCTCCAGGAAACAGTGTGGGAATGCCGTTCCCAGCTTTCCTCTGCTCTCCTGCTCTCACATGAACCTGAGGTCCTCTCAGCCCCTCTTTCGCCCCACGACAGCAATGGCCGTCCAGTAGATTCCTAGTTCTACCCAAAGCACCAGGACTAGGAAGTCTTAACCAACATTCTTTTGGCAAACGTATGGTCTCCTTTTGGAGGCACGACACACGATCCTAAATTTCAAAATGAAAAGTCAACATGAGTCAGACTCATGTTTTCCAGGAAACTGTTACAGGTATAAATTTACAACATGACCCCTGTGGATTAAGAAATGCTTCATTTCTTTGTTTCTCTAAATCAAATCAAATTTGGCTCTGATTCAGAAAAGTCTAAAGTCTGGATGAAAAAAATGTGTATCTAAGGTCAACCATGTTTTCCAGTCCCCTCGTCCTACAGGTAAGAGCTCTCTGGGCCAGCACTAGGGCAGGCCCTGGATTTGGAAGGGATGGGAGACCTGTCCTCAGTGCTTGGGGCCACCCCGAAGCCTTGACAGCTCAGGGGCTCCCAATGTTCCTCATCCATCATGTAAATGGGCACTGGAATATTCCACCCTGTGGGACCCTGGAGAAAATAACAACCTATTTTCCAGTCTCTGGGAAGCCACCTCCTGAGATGGTTCCACTCTCCTCTTGTACTCAAAGCACCTGACGTTTCCCCCTCCTCCCCCACATACCCACATTGCTTTCATGAGTTTAGCCTTTTGAAATAAAAAGTCCCTGAAATCTCCCAGGGACTCTGTTTTCGTGTAAGTCACTGTGGCCCCCGGCAGAAATATTTTGAAAACTACATTCAAAATCTGTATAAGAGTCAATTACTTAGGCCGGGCACGGTGGCTCATGCCTGTAATCCTAGCACTCTGGGAGGCCAAGGCAGGTGGATTGCTCGAGGTCAGGAGTTCCAAACCAGCCTGAGTGAGACCCCGTCTCTACTAAAAATAGAAAGAAAATAATTGGCCAACTAATATATATAGAAAAAATTAGCCGGGCATGGTGGCACATGCCTGTAGTCCCAGCTACTCGGGAGGCTGAGGCAGGAGGATCGCTTGAGCCCAGGAGTCTGAGGTTGCTTTGAGCTAGGCTGATGCCATAGCACTCACTCTAGCCCGGGCAACAAAGCAAGACTTTGTCTCAAAAAAAAAAAAAAAAAAAAAAAGACTCAATTACTTAATAGTAAGAAACCAAAGATGGAAACAGGACTTGCCCTCTAAAATCCTGGCCCCAAAGCCCCACACTTGCCCATAATGCCATCCTTCTCCTTGCCTTGGTCCCTCTGTCCTTTACTGTAGACAAAAGGGACAGCACAGATGGCAACAGTCCTGGCAGTGGATGTGGGTCTGGACCAGGTGGTAGCTGTGGAGAGGTGAGAAGACAAGGAACGTGTCTAAAGTGGAGCTCATAGGGTTTACTGATGGCAGTGTTAGGGATGAAAACAAAAAAAGAGGCTTTAAGGATGGCTCCAAGATTTGAAACTAGATGAGCTGGAAGAAGGGGGTTACCATTTTCTGAATTGAAGAAGGTTCTGGAAAGAATAGGTTTTGGGGAGGTAAATCATGTCTGTTGTATATGTGATCGGTCTGAGCTGCCTCGAGTGGAGATGCCGAGCGGTACTTAGGTACATAGAGCTGGAGAGATCAGCTCGGGAGCCATCAGCCCAGGGATGGTGTTTAAATCATGCAGCTAGAAGCGAATCCAGATGAGGATGCAGAGAGACCAGGGCCAGAGCCCAGGGCAGCGCCACATCCGAGGCCAGCAGGGCGAGGGTCCAGCCAGATGAGGAATACCCAGTGAGCGAGGGGAACCGAAATGTCCTGCAAGCCAAGGGCAGAGCCTTGTTGAGGAGGAGGGACGATCACCTGCACTAAACTACGTCATTTGACCTTCACAGTGACACAGAGGTCAGCACCATTATCACCTGCCTTGCATAGATGGGAGCACCGGGACAGAGAAGAGGAAAGCAGTTTGCTCAAAGGAGTGATTTGAAGATTTGCTTACAGCCCCTGCACCATGAGAAGATGTTCATGCAACTGAAAATTCCCATTTCCTCCCACACATAAGTGACTGTTCAGTGAAGGGCCTCAGGGGTGTGTGTCCAGGAGCAAGTGTGTGTCTGGGTGCAGGTGTGTGTGTCTGGGAGCAGGTGTGTGTGTCTGGGAGCAGGTGTGTGTGTCTGGGAGCAGGTATGTGAGTCTGGGAGCAGGTGTGTGAGTCTGGGAGCAGGTGTGTGAGTCTGGGAGCAGGTGTGTGTGTCTGGGAGCAGGTGTGTGTGTCTGGAGCAGGTGTGTGTGTCTGGGTGCAGGTGTGTGTGTCCGGGAGCAGGTGTGTGTGTCCTGGAGCAGGTGTGTGTGTCCAGGAGCAGGTGTGTGTGTCCGGGAGCAGGTGTGTATGTCTGGGAGCAGGTGTGTGTGTCTGGGAGCAGGTGTGTGTGTCTGGGTGGAGCGGAGCACCATTCCAGACGACAGCAGAAACCTGGGTCTGTCACTCATTGTGAGCATCCTTGCCCCTGTTTGTCCAGGATTACAACGATGAGCCTACATGGTGGTTTGTCATGTGTGTACCGTAATAGCCATCTCAGTAGTGCCTTGAAGGCAGTATTTCTATTATAAACAGAATCAGATACCTGGGTCAGGGCTTCAGGCCCCATGGGCAGGTACCACAGCTGTCATGGCAGATCCGAAGATTGGAGGGAGGGAGCGAAGAGGTAGAGTCCCTGGGAGGGTCTTGCTGCCCCAAGGCAGGCCGAGAGCAAAGGCAAGCCAATTGTACATTTCTTCTGGCAGAAGTGCCAATTTCAGACAAATGGAATTAGAACTGGCAATGATCTGTGATTTAATGGGCACTGTGGGCGAGAACAGAGAAGCCCCAGGGGGAATGGCAAATGCATTAAACAGATTTAATTAAGACTTTGAGGATTTAAAAGAAGAGCTGCCCCATGTCTCCTCCTATAGCAAGGATCCCTTTCTTGCCTAAGCAGAGACACAGGTGTGTGTATACTCATGCTTATGAGACAGAGAGGGACAGGGACAGAGACAGGGACAGAAAGTAAGCCACAGAGACAGAGAGAGAAAAGAGAAATACTAAATTCTAAGGTCCTGCATATTTTAAGCCATTTCTTGAATCAAAAGCACAAAGCCAATTACTGGGCAACTA